ATGTAGTTGTCTGACCTCTCACTAGCCCAATTATAGACTAGTTCATCCATATTACCAATAATACCAGTGACCTATTTATCAATTTACAAATAAACCAATGAACAACAGTCACAAGAGCTTGACGTTTATTTGTGGTCCAGCTACTTCCAACACAGTGACTAGACAGAAGATGAAGATAGAAAACGGAAAAGTGCTCATTTGTGTTCATTCCGTTGTTTTATAAGTCAATCAAGAATTTCAATGGAACGTGTAAAGATTTGTAAGATATTCCATATTTAAGATGATCCTCAAATACGAGTGTAAATGAGAACATATAGATGTGCGAAAGCTCATGGGTTTTCTGATTGTCATTATGTAGTGAACAAACACTCAGGTGGTCAGACTAAAAAGTGTTTAGAATTTGATGAAGATTACTGGTGGACAACATTTACTCGGTTACGATGGATACAAGCGCAAGTTGGTAAAGTATAAAAACCATATATTAAATAATTCATTTGCACATTTTCCATCACCTGTCTCTTACAAACTCAATCGTTCATTCATTCCTATTTTTATTACAATAACTCCCTCGCTATTTACATTCCTATTCTCTTCCATTAGAACTTCTTAACCTTCAGTTGCCAGGCATTCCACTTCTGACTGGTGTAACATACTACTTATGTCTGTGGATATATGAGGCATACATCACGAATTCATTGTCCATAAAATGAACATAGGAAAACTATCTGAGCACAATTCAACGATAATACTTCAGGTTGAAAAGATGTTGTACTGACAGGAAACAACAACGGAACAACTAGAAACTGGTTAACCAGCACAAGTATTCTGAACAAATAGGACAGGTGATTTTAGGAAAAAAAAATAGCGAAAGATGTATTGTAACTCGTAAACAAACTAACACAACTCCTACTTTATAAAGGAAATTACTTCTTATGATGTTCAGTCAGAGTTATTCATAATCTTCAGAAGGGGTTTTGTAGATATTATATTAATTTCATTAGTTGAGATCATGAGTGAACTGAAATTAAACCACCATGGGAAACCACGATCCTACCCTTCCACAAGATTCGAACTCAGGACTTATCAGTCTCCCGCGCAAACGCCTAACCTTCACACTGCTGAATTGGTCGACATCCATTGCTGTTAATGTCTAACTTCAACTAATCCATGGAATTGATTGATACATTCCCTATTGTCTTCATTGAGTTACTATCACACAACAGACCCGGTTGAACTCCACTGGTCACTGCTTCTCACTTGAACTTCAGGAAATCCCATTCGAAGTCGGTCACTAATGAGCATATGTTGATCATTATCAAAATATCATAATCTTATCAGCAGTCTTAAACTGATAATGTTATGATCAATCTTTTTTCTTACAAAGAACTACACTATTTTAAATTCAATTAGTGTTGTTTTACTTGTATCTTTCTCTTGTTATTTAGGACTGCAATTGATCAGTCTCGTGTTGACAAAAAGAACGAAATGCGCATCTCGGATTCCACTGTTAGCCACTATTCATCTTTGTTTACAAAGAACTACATTAGTGTTTCAAACATTTCAATGAACTATTCATATCATTCATATTACAATGAGTTAATGCACTTTGGTTTTTGTAAATATTTGCCAAAAACAAAATAATGAATTATGTAAACAATAACATAAATCATCATTAAAATGTTTACTGTAAATGACATAGAAAAAAATACCTCTTGTCAATCAACTAAAGAATCATCATTACTGGTTAGAATTTATTACGATTGTGTAGTGGTACTATCATATAAACTATTCATAAATAGTTTTTGTAAACAAGTATGTTATTATTATTACCATCAACAGAATGGGGTTTATGGATCTCTCAAGTGCGATTGGAATGCAAGACCTTCGGTCTAGCGCACGTACGCTTAACCTCTTAACCAATGAGCCGGTATTTCACGATGTTATTGTCTAAAGTCCATCGACCTATGAATGGATGTGCAACTATCCATCCATTGTCTGAGGCAGATACTTGTTTCCATCTGACACCGATGTGTTCTACTGGTTAAGACTTCCCACTAGAACTCCGAGAACTTCCTTATGAAGCTAGTCACTAGTGAGCACATGTTTATTATTAATATGTATAAGTGAAGATTGTTGCATTTTTGATTGAGACCATGAATCGTTCGATGTTTATCTCTTTAGGAAAGCCAATAAAAGTACAGCGTCTGCCAGGGAAGTCCTACTCACTACCTTCTTGTGGCGTGGGTGTTGTTTGCGAAAATGAGAGAACGAAAAGCTAATGTTCGGCGCTTTAATCGGATCCCAAAGCAAATTAATGGTGCACATGGGCTCCAGTACTCTGCGGGAACAAATGGCGTATGAACCAATTTTTGATCGCTGGGTACCATGAGACTACATCTCCTCACGATGCTCCACTGCCTTATGGGTTAGACCTTTAGGTCAGAGGCTCAGGGTGTGGCCTCCTAAAAAAACCACCTGCTTCGGTCTGAGCACCCAAGCAGTATCACAGCCCACACACAAATATGACAAACTGTAGATAATTATGGAAAATACTTTTCTTGCTTCAATTAACAATAAAACGATTCACATTATTATTATTATCATTATCATTATTATTCACTACGTCATTTATTCACTCTCTTTTATTCCTACTCTGTCTATCCTTATTTTTCGACTTATACAGCAGCCGGCGTATGGTGAGAATTCGGCTCTATCTAAACGTTCTCGAGTAGAGACGTTATCAGATATGGCTCAGAATAGAAGGCAATGGCGATCCTACTGTAACCTTCTTTTACGTTCTTCATAAAAAGTGGTTGCTTCTTCCTTAAGTGAAAGATCTCTTCTGATTGTACGTTTCTGTTTCCCCCATTTTTATTATTATTACACTACTTTACAATAATCTGTTCGTTATCGTTCTTTTTTTACGCTACTTACCTTTTTTTTCCTTCTCTTCAAATTTTCATTGCTTTGTGTGGCACATATCTATTTGGTGCCCTCTTGAACCAATATTTATGTGTTCAAATAAATGAATAAATAAATAAATGATCAATAGAATGAAAGATCTTTTGATTCGTTAAACATGTGTCTATAGCATTTTCGAGGTATATTAAAATGTTGGCTATAGGTGTTTGCATACGTTAACAAAATCAAGGCATAATAGAGGACCTAATCAGTGTACTTTAAACGTATCACTGTGATTCACTTAAGATAATACAATTCCAAGGTCACTGTCGCATTGAATACATACCATAATTGGATGGAAAGTTCATCGGTGTTCCAAAACTCATAAACAAGAACAATGTTGGATTAAACTCCTACATACAACATCTTAGAAGATTAACTAGTAAACTCACATCAATCATTCTTATACGAATCAAAGTATGAAATGATCAAGAGAAGAAAAGTCGAATATTATCTACAAAATGAGCTATTCTAATTAAAAAAAGATTACATCGAACAAAGTGGACGCCTCCTTCATATTCGTCTGCATGAAAACCAACTAGCAGTGAAATGCCACAATATATATTTGCTTATATCAATGCATGTGGGCAATTGTGAACACATATTTTAATTGGGAAAATGCTAAGATTCTGGATAGAAAAAACTCTAAGAATGACAGAAAATTTTCGGGAGCTTGACGCTCATCTTAATCAGTAATCAATGATCATTTACAAATCGATTCAATTTATTGAACAACTAGAAAAATAAGTGACAGTTATATAGAACCAATAATCAGATCAAAGGGAGATACAGTAAATGATACTTGGGAACAACTGGAAAGGAGAACTTAGAACAGAGTTGGTTCTAGATTTCTGGTCAACGGCTTATACACCAAAGGGATAACAAACGTATCTAGGTAAGTATGTTGTGTATGGTACTTCTATCGACAAACATAAGTAGTATGCAACACCGATCAGAAGTGGAAAATCTGGCAGCCGAAGTTCAAAAAGCTCGAGTTAAAGAGAATAGAACTGAAAATAGAAAAAAATTGTGAATTGAAAGAGTCAATAAGAATGTAAAGGATAAATGATGCAAATATGCTAATGAAGTAATCCGTATATGATTTTCATATTTTGCGAAGATATTCTGGAGTTTTATGTTTAGAATATACCTGGTAGTTCCCACATGTGTTCTCCTTCGCATCATTGGTTTTCAATAATTTCCTAGGCTGATGTCATTTTATAATTACATTTCGTTTTAATATAAATTTTGATTTACATTTGCAACCTGACGTGAAAATTAACCTGTTATACAACAAACATTTGGTGTTAGTTCTGATGATTTTTCCTTCCATATGTGTCAAAAATCTATTATTTACTAATTTTCTTTAAAACAACAATAAGCTACTAAAATGCTGACTATTATTGTTTATTTGAAGTGTTTAGACCGTTGAGAAGCTCTATACTGTGACAAAACACTAGTTTAATATTCTTTGGTTTCTAATGATATTTTCAGAACGAACAGTCTGTGTTAAATACAATTTATAAATCAAACCGTTGCAAGCTAACTGTTAGGATTAATCACTAAATTTATTAGTATCAGAAAGGATTTTGTAGAGATTTGTAATTTTAGTAGTTGAATTGGCGATTCAATGTAAGCTAGACTACCATTGTGAACCTGGAAGAAGTAGACGGTTGTTTTGCTCTAGTATGGGACTCCTCAGCAGTACGTATTTACGATCCTACAAATGCGACTCGAACCCAAGACCTTCCGTCCAGCGCTCGGACGCTTAACGTTTACACCACTGAGCCGGTCAGCATCCAACGGTGTTAATATCTAACTTCAACTAATCCATCAAATTGAGTGACCCACCCACCATTATCTTCAATGAGTCACTATCACACAACACACCCAACTGAACTCTACTTGTCACTACTTCTCACTAGAACTTCAGGAAATACCTCTTAAAGTCAGATATATTAATTTTATACAGTAATCTGACTTCACTAAAAGCATACCCGAATTCTTTGATGGTCTGTATGATATCCATGATCAACTTATTTTAATGAATAAATATTATTATTCATATATAAATAAAATGTACACACAATAATCAGATAAATTATGCATTAAAATAATTTCATTCAATATATATTCATATTTAAAGTGTTAAAAATTATACATCGTTCAATAAAGCGTTTTCAATTAAACTATTTTCCATACTTATAATTACAAGTAACATAGAAAGAAAAAGAGAGGGATATAGAGAGAGTGAGAAAGAGAGCGCCCAGAAGTATATACGAGGGATAGAGAAGAATATCGCATGCAGAAGAATAGGAGAAGGATAAAGAGATAGAGAGAGATATATATATAGAATGAGAGATAGTAATGCGGAACGGGTAGACAGGCGATAGAGAAATAGAGAGCATGTAGAAGAGTAGGGGAAGGATAACGGGAGCGAGAGAGGGAGAGAGTGAGTGAGTGAGTGAGTGAGTGAGTGAGTGAGTGAGTGAGTGAGTGAGTGAGTGAGTGAGTGAGAGATAGTAATGCGGAACGGGTAGACAGGCGACAGAGAAATAGAGCGCAAGCAGAAGAATAGGGGAAGGATAACGAGAGAGAGAGAGTGAGAGTGAGTGATTGAGAGATAGTAATGTCTTCCTTTTCACCGGTAGTGAAAATCCTGATTCACCTATTCTATATTATCACATACATGGAATTGTATATTTATTCATGAACCAACAATGATAGAATTACTATTATATATAATATGATATTCATTCATTTTATTTCATTATAAAACTTTCAATGATAATGATCATTATATTTAGTATGAATAATATGATTCATTGAATTAGATTCATTGAAATGAGCGGTTTTCCATAATAAATGAATTAATGTTTTAGGTAATATAAATTCAAATAATTTATTATTTCTATTCATATGTTGTTCTAAATCATTTGGATTTAATGATGATTTAGCTAATTTATATAGATAGAATGCTAATTATCGAAAGAAAAAAAAAAGAAAAAAGAAAACAAAAACAAAACAAACAAAAACAAAACAAACAAACAAAAACAAAACAAAAGAATAAATAACAATAAACATGAGATTAAACATGAAAATATCTTTTGAAAATTATATGATATTGAAGTTTAACCAGGTCTGTTGTGAGATATCAATTCCCTGAAGACAATGGTTTACGGTGGCACAACTTTGTGGTATGGTTGAAGTTAAACATTATCACGATTGGATGCCGGTTCAGTGGTCTAGTTGGTTAAGCACCTGGCGTGAGACTGATAGATCCTGAGTTTGAATTTCGCGGGGTGAGAGATCATGGATGCGCATTGCTGAGGAATCCCTTACTAGGACGAAACGGACATCCAATGCTTCCAGGTTTTGAATGGTGGTCTAGCTTCAGTTGACTCATGATTTCAATCTGTTATATTGACAAATTTGAATTCATGAATCCCATGGAGTGGAATCGTAGGTGTGTACCGCTAAGGCGTCCGATACTAAGACAAAATGTTTGTCTAATGTTTTCAGGTTTTTCATGGTAGTCTAGCTTTAAGTGACTTATGGATTCAACTATTGAAATTACTAAAATCTTTACAAAACTGCTTTATGAGAATAAATTATGTTTCAAAGTTCAAATTTCAGACTCAATGTAATACATATTTTGTAGTTATTTTTAATAGTTGAATTGATGAGTCACTTGAAGTTAGACCTGGGAAGCACTCGATGGTTGTTTTGTTCTACTATGGGACTCGTCATCAGTGCACACCCACGATCTCGCCTCATGGGATTCGAACCCTTAGCTTATGTGTCTCGCACAAGTGCGCCATATAGTCGAGAGGTATGTGTTCTAGAAGGCTTGAGCCCATCATAGGTATGCTCAGAGACGTATTGATATTTTTTTAAAAATTTCTAATGCTGCAGTTCGTTGACGTTCGGTCTTTTCATTGAGGTCTTTATATGACCCAAGCTTTTGGAATTCAGTTTGATCACTCAGTAGGGAATTCATCTTATCTATGTAGCCTATCTTGTTTAGAATAAAGATGCCCGACCCATTATTATGTTTAGTGATAGGAATGTGTTCATTCAATTTTGTTTTGTGAATATCCTCACCATGTCTATCAGTCAATATATTATGTGTGTACAGCAATCCAACTGCTCCTGTGGAGCTAAATTCATAGACCGTACTCAGTGGGCTTTATTTTTGCGTGTTCGTGAATATGTACCAGCATCGTTAGGAAATGGAGTCACCAGATCGATCAACAGCACTATCCTTTCTCACTTGGTAGATAATGAACATCATATCAAAATAGAGGAAGCTTTCTCTGTTTTATATCAAGTTCCAAAATATCTACTTCAAGGATTTACATCACGGTTATTCTACATAGCCTAAGCCATCTAGATCAACTCCAGAAAACCAAACTTATGTATCCAGAAAAGGTATATCCAGCCTCTACATTTACTGGATCACCGAATACCTAGACTGAATATTATAAATATCTTGCCCCCTTCTTTTTTTGATTACCTCTATCTTAATCTTCACATTCATCATTCCTGATTCGTTTATCTTAATTACCGTAATATCCCCCTTACTACATATTATATTCACACAACAATATTATTATTATTGCCATCTCAGTTGACAAGATGATATTCTCCTACTATGCACTTTATTCAAAAAACTTTCTTCACATTTTCGTACTTACTATATTACTATATTACTATTAACCTTTCTGATATGAATCAACATATGCTCATTAGTAATTAGATTTAAGAAGTATTTCCTGGAGTTCTAGTGAGAAGTAGTGACCAGTGAAGTTCAACCGGTCTGTTATGAAATAGTAACTCACTGAAGACAATAGTGAATGTATCGTTCAATTTGGTGGATTAGTTGATGTTAGACATTAACACAGTTGGATGTTGACCGGCTCACTGATCTAGAGGTTACGCGCTCGTGTACGAAATTGATAGATCCTGAGTTTAAATCTCTTGAGGCATGATCGTGTATGCTCACTCCTGAAGAGTCCCACAATAGGATGAAACGATCATCGAATGTTTCCAGATTTTTCATGATGATCTAATTTCAATTCACTCACAATCTCAACTATTATATCATAAAATAATTATTTAGTTGATCAGAATCTATTGTGAAATTTTCTTCACTTAAATTGATCACATACCAATAGTTTTAGTAATATAAATGAAGAATGAATTTAGTATTTATTTATTCTTATGAATATAAACACTCTCAATCAATTTCCTATGTTGGATACATTTTATTATGTATTACTTATTATATTATATAATGATGTATCACATTAATTTCATTAAACTACTCCATTTTATGATTATTATTGTTGTTGTTGTTATGTAGAAGTAAATAAACGATTAACGACTTTATTGCTCTTCTTTTCACTCTTTTTCTTTATTTTTTCTCTTGTTTTTTATCCTTCTTTCAAGTGCTTTTCTTTTAATTATTTATGTACTACACATATGTCGTTCGTGATGAATTCCAGTGATCAAACAAAGGAGGTTAAAATTTTTATTGTGTAAAGGAAAAAATGGTAGTGTAGTGAACAATCAATGATTTGATTTGACAATGACTGATGTATATATATATATATATATATATATATATATATATATATATATATATATATATATATATATATATATATATATATATGAGTAATGAAGTTAGGTATGTAACTAAGATTAATAACCGATAGCATACGGAGTTTGATGATTGAATATGTGAGAAATATGTTGATATGATGTTTTATGGTTGTTTGTGTTTGTTTTTCATGATCTGTGTACTTGATAGGAATCAATAATTTTAAAAAAATGTTTAACACTAGTTTTATTTGTAGTCAGCAACCAACTAACAAAACTTAATAATCTCCACAACCCTTATACTAGTAATCAACATGTGCTCACTAGTGACTAGCTTCGTGAGGGAATTCTCGGAGTTCTAGTGAGAAGCCGTGACCAGTGGAGCTAATCCTTGTCGGGTAGAGGCAGGTATCTACCTCAGTACAACGGAAGTTGGTTGCGCAATTTCGTGGATTGGTTGATGTTAGAAACTGTCACCATTGGATGCCGGCTAAGTGGTCCAGTTGGTTAAGCGTTCGCGCGCGAGACCGAGGGCCCTGGGTTCGAATCCCGCTCGCGGGACCGTGGATGCGCACTGCTGAGGAGTCCCACAATAGAGCGAAACGGCCGTCCAGTGCTCACAGGTTTCCAATTGTGATGGTCTAACATCTATCGGTTCATGATCTCAATCAAAAACTAACAATGTATATTTATAGAAATCAAAACAATTTTCTGTCAACTAATATCAAAGTCAAAATCGGAGCTAAAACTTGAAGAACTACTACAACCATCATCAAGAAGTTGCAAGTATTTATAAATGGTTGTCTACGCAAGATACACAACATCCATTGGTCGGATATCATTAGTAACAACCAGCTTCTAGCTGAAGAGGAAATTAAGAAATGGATAGGACATATATTACGGAAATCACCACACTGCATCACGAAGCAAGCTCTAAATTGCAATCCTGAAGGGAAGCGGAAGAGATAAAGGCCAAACAACATATAACGTCGGGAAACAGAATCAGATATGAATAACAACTGAAAAGAGCTGGAAAGGATTGTCCATGACAGAGTTCAATGGAGAATGCTAGTGGGTAACCAATGTTCCTCCACTAAGGAGAACAGTTGGAACTATCCTATGTTCAGAACACGCTAATAAAAGTATTGAATCGTTCATTACGAGTGTGATTTAGATTTTGAAACAACGATGAACATTTGTAGCTCAGAATTACGTATTTAGTATAGTCTCATTCTCTGCGCTAGATAATGCTACTGAGGTGCTTGGGCTCTGTAAATATGATATTAGATATGTAATAAGTGATCTGAGATGTGATGCAGTCATAAACTATCATCTTTAATCATTATTAAAGACAACTAGTTTCTTTAAAAATAATAAATGAATTACACATTTCACTTACCAAGCTCATTATCTTCAAAACCAAGACTATCACCAAGTATTTCATTAATTCTTTGAATTCCTTCAATTTCAACATCTACAATCTATACATAAATATATGTAAAGAAAATAACTCATTAAATAATGAGTGACATAATAATTTCAATAAAGTAATTCAACTTTTTCGATAATGACATCATCCACTTGCATAACCTTCCTTTATCTTTCAGCTCTTAGATTTTGGCGCTAATTCATTCACCCGTTTGGCTAAATAGAATCTTGGCATTATAGCTAATATTAGTTCTTGATGTAAATCATGAATAGGATGCCTAATCCTAATCATAATCCCTGTTAATCACACTAGTTTATAAACTTCATTTAGTTCTAGTAAGTAGGTGGACATTCTCAACGTCACTTTAACGTCATTCAAAGGTCGTCCATAAATTATAGTCTCACAGAAATTAGATTTACGGTTTTGATCACGAACTGAAATCAGCTATAATGCCAAAAACTCTGTTTATCTGATTGAATGAGTGAATACCGCGCCAAACTCCAAGACCTGTTATCTTATACGTGATTGATTCATTCATAAATTATAGTCTCGCCTAATTTTCTATTGGAACCATTCAATAAAGGATATAACAATATAGAGTTACCAATTAAAAATATATCAAGGAATCAAATCAACATAACGAATTAAGCATTGAGCAACATATGAATAAATAAATGTTAATCACTATACATTATATTAGAAGTTGTTTCAAGTCTAAATATTGAACTGATCAGAAAAATTACACATTTAACCTTTATTAACTCACTCTATCACTGATACTGTTTAGAGTTCCATATGTTTATCAAAGGGGTGAGTACACTGAACAATTATTTTTATTATATGATTTAACTGTTGTATAACATAATATTTGTAGGCAGAAGATAGGGATACATCTATATATTACAGTGGTATTTTTAATATATTTTACATGTATGGTTGGAATTGCGGGGATGAACTCACAGTTCAAAAATACAGTTAGTGAATTAGTTGATGAGACTATACTGTGCGGCAGTTCGTTCTGTTTTAATTTACGTTTGCGAAACGTGGCCATTAAGAGTTGAAGATACTTGTAAGCTACTAATATTTGACCATGGATGCCTTAGAAATATTGCTAGGATGACCTGGCAAGTAATAGTGGGGTTAGACGCAGGGTATTAGAGAATGATGGTCAGTCAGTTGATGAGGTTGTGAATTTTCATCGACTGAGATGATTGAGCCACGTGTTACATGTGCCTGAACACTGATGACCGCGACGCGCAATGCTAATTGGCGTTGGGAATGGTTAGAAGAAAGTTAGGGTTAGCCAAACCAAAACGTGGTGTCAGTGCTTGAAGTCACTAACTTCTAGCCTGAGTCATGTTGGTAGATGTAGACTACTTGGTTGGATATTGCGTGTGACATAGCTCAGAATCGATCACAATGGCGTAGGTGTATACTTTCTCTGTCTAACATAAAAGTAGGCTGTAAAATAACAATACATAATATGAATTCATAAACTCATAATTTATGTTAGACATAGCCTATTCAACATATACAAACTTTTTAGATAGAATAATCATGATTATTGTAGCCTATTATTAAGAATCTAATGTAATATAAGTCGGAACATATTAAGATGACAGAGATATATGAGTTGTCATAGTGTTTCAGTAATATTGTTTCTTATTCTTTAACCTTGATCATTTTCTGTTGGTAGTCTGTACAATCTGAAGATAAATTAACCAGTCAATTGACTGTTGTCATAATATTCACTCTTTGTCTAGTCAATCGCTTAAGGCATTCTTAATGTGTAAGGTGTAATTAGTTCAATTAATGAGACCGAATTAGTTTCTTATGCAAATTCGTTAAACCAAGGAGGACTAGTCAGACATGAGATAGGTCACTACTTAATGATCATTTAAATGTAAATCTCTTGATCCTATAGTTCTAACACAATACAAATAGCTCAATATATACGTCTCAAAATGTAAAGTTGTACGACTCGGGTTCCGGATTCAGTTTATTAAAGATTATATGTAAACCTTACGGACTAATTCTATTTATCATGAAATTTAAGTTCATAGTTTCCAGTCATTTAGAACAGTAGTCACATTGCAACCAACGATGAAGGACGAGACATATGTGATATTAGTCACTACTCAGAGTACAATCAGTTGTTAGAGATAAGAAAATTGAAATAATGAAGACATCAAACATTTACACCTAGTTCGTTTTTCCAGCTTGATTTTACAAGTAAAATCAGAGATGGATAAGGGCTAGCAGTGGAATCTAGAACGCGCATTTCGTCCAACCCGAGACCCATCAGCTGAATGTACCTGGATTCTAGCGTTGATGTTCAATCCTCGACTAAAACATAGTACCGCTTGCTTTAAATGCCATCATGTTATCCAATAAGCTACTGAGGCCAGATAGCCAATAGCATGTGCAATGGAGTGAATTTTTAATTCATTTTGTATTGATTAGTTGAATATTCCATTAGATGTGGAGGCGCGAATCGGCAAGGCAAGAACAGGATATCTTGAACTGAAGAACATCTGGAGCTTAAAACAACTGTCAACCAACACCAAAGTCAGAATTTTCAATTCAAATGTCAAGACAGTTCTACTGTATGGGATTGAAACTTGGAGAACTACAAAATCCGTCATCCAGAAGATATAATTGTTTATGTTGGAAACGTTAGATCCCCAGAACTCACTTGGGAAAGGACCTAATTTTGTAATTTTATTTAGAAAATTTGAATTTCTTTGTTTTCGCGCCAAAGGCGCTCTTGTCACCTTCATGTCGTATTTCGCACTGCGAAATATCTTAAATCCTATTGGTCCGTTGCGTCTTTTAGTATGCTATTTGGTAACTTTCCTTAAGGACGGTTTTGTACTGTATATATGCGTTTTGAATTGTGTTTGTTGTTATCGCTCGTTTCTGGCTGTTTGCAGAATATACTTCTCCATTCCAAGCTTGGACTTTTCCCTGTAGTTAGCGGGGCTGAGACGCATCAATAGCTAGCTTACTGATCTTTGGTTATCGAGTCGTGTTTCTCGTTCGCAGATTAAGTGAACTCGTGATAGCTTCAACTTTAGCAGTTTATTAACAGTTTTCTTCGCAAAATACTTCGGATCCGTTGGCCAGAAACTATCAACAACAACCTTCTGTGGGAGAGAACAAACCAGATCCCAGTGGAGGAAAAATTTGGAAGAAACACTTAAAATGGATAGAACACACATTGAGAAAAGCACCCAACTGCGTCATAAAGCAAGCTCTCACTTAGAGTCTTCAAGGAGTAAGAGGAAGACCAAAGAACACAATACGTCGAGAAATGGAAACAGACATGAGAAGACTGAACAACAGTTGGATAGAACTAGAAGGAAAGGCCCAGGATAGAGTGGATTAGAGAATGCTGGTTGTCAGCCTATGCTCAATTGAGAGTAACAGGCATAAGTAAGTAAGTAATAGATATCGAGGAAAGAGTTTGAACCGAACGTTACTAGGTTCACATCGCGAAACAAACATCAACTTTGGCATATAAGTACATTCAACGGATGAGTCCCAAATAAAACGAAATGCACATCCTGAATTCCATTGCTAAACACCATCTATCTTTACTTGTAATAATGATGACGTAAATCAATATCAAGACAATTTACACAACATACACATATATCTATTAAAAAAACTGATTAACTATAATTCTAAATGTCAATAAGAAGATTCATAAAACCAATAAAAAATAAATGATTATATCATTATTTTTATACAATCACTTATTGATTAATAGTTACTGTTACCATGGCAACAGTGAAATATTTTAAATGAAAAAAAATAGTTTGGCAAATTGTTTTTGGAGAACAAAAATCAACAATATGATGAATTGATTTAAATGACTTTTATAATCAAAAAAAGGAAAAAAAAAAGAGAAAAATCATATTAACATGTGATACATATATTACGTCATACAGATAGTAATTCATTACTCTAGAATTACTTTATATGGTAAATATTTTTATTTACTATATGATAGGCTAATTAAGTGAATTGTTATTATGTCTACAGTTTAAATTCTTAAAATATGCTGAGTATAAATTGATTAAGATCATGAGTTAATTGAAGCTAGACCACTATGGAAAACCTGGAAGCACACCGTTGGATGCTAGCTCAGTGGTCTAATGGTTAAGTGCTCGAGCGCGAAACCAGTAGGACTTGAGTTTGAATCTCGTAAAACGGGGTCATGGATGCGCACTACTGAGAAGTCCAGTGCTTCCAGGTTTCCTATAGTAGAGTAGCTTCAGTTAACTCATTTTTCAATGGAAAAATTCATTTCAAAAGTTTTCAGTTAAACAATCTATGAAAACTAGGGAACAGTAGAAAGCTATTTTATTTCAACACTTCACTTCTCACCAGTATACATTTAAGTACATTGAAAATATCAGCTAATGAAACATCATAGGTAAAATAATCGATAATGTAGTTAAAATATATGAATAAATACCGTTTTGTTATACACTATATGAACCGATTCTATCTTTTAAAGCCCTAAAGTTCGAAAAGACCGATAGTTTATTTAAAGACTTATAGTCATTTAAAAACGGATTTTTTTTCATGATTAGAATGGACAGTCAAGTTTACTCCACAAGTTTATCTCAAATAACAGACACTTCAGTTAAAGGAGGTTTTCATGTATACTGATCTTACAGTATTCCATTTAAACGAATTTTATGCAGCTTCTTAGATTGTGTGTCAGATAATACTGTGAAAAGATTTATTAGATTTCAAGAGTGTACAACATAAGGTGTTAAATTGAAATAATATTTAATATTAGGCCCAACATTTTCTTCTAGTAAGATTGAGAATCTATTCTTAATTCTATGTTTGTTGTAGCTAACTAACAGAAAGATATTTGAGTTGTGGTGACAAATAATATGCTTTTCATGATAGAGGTTTGCTTAAATGATAATATAGACTAACCTAAATTAGATTCACTTGGTATTGTTTGGTTTGTATCTTCCCATTGAGGTTTAAGACTGCAATTGATCAGATGCAGGTACATCCAGCTGACGAGTCCCAAATAGGACGAAACGCGCGTCCTGGATTTCACTGCTAGCCACTATATATCATTGCTAACCTAAATTAGGTAACTATGTGATATCAAAAGCACTATACAGATGTTTTATCCCAGTGTGAGACTCATCAGTACTGTGCATCCATTACCTAATCGGAATTCTAACTTAGAAGGTTCAGGACAACCAAAGAGTGACTAACGTTTAGGCTATTTAGTCGGTATCCAATTATTTTCATATCCAATCATCTTCTACTACCTTCAATAAACAAGTGCCTCACACTACACATTATTGAACTGTAATAGTTAATGCTTCTCACTAGAACTCTGGAAAATATTATTCGAATTCAATTCCTAATGAAGAAGATCAACATTAAATTCTAGCAGAAAAATAAGTGAATACTTCATTACGATTAGTCAATAGAATAATGTATTATAAATCATTCAATTTAATTGCCTGAATTATGTATCGGTCTAATTCAAAATGAAAGGAAAGCTAAATTTTTTATTACATTAGTTAAAATATTAATGTAAGATGAAAATTGTAAGGATAGTCTATGGATGAATTCTGGGAAGCTTTAAGAAGCTTAGAAGAAGTCGAAGATATTCCATTCAATCGTCTTTTGGAAGAATATTCCAGAATCCCGAAGTTCAGCTTTCCTATTGAACAAATGATAATAATTTCTTACATCTGGATTAGTGAACTCTATAAATACCTAATAGTTTTGTACAATAACTGACATCATTTCAGAATAGCATTCCATTCATTTGTGTTCTATTTTCTCATTTGCAACTTGAGAGACTTTATGCGTTTGACTAATCAAGTAATCATATGGGTTTTTTGTGGATATTATAGTAATTCCAATGGTTAAGATCATGAGTCAGTTGGAGCTAGACAACCATGGAAAACCTAAAAGCAATGGACGTCCATTTCATCCTATCGTGGTACTCTTCAGCAGTGTGCATCCACGATCCTGCAAACGCCTGGTTTTTACACCACTGAGGTGGCCAACATGGAACGATGTGAATGTTGAACTTCAACTAATCCATGAAATTGATTGACACATCCACCACTGTCTTTAGTGAGTTACTATCACACATCAGACCTTGTTGAACTTCACTGGTCACTGCCTCTCACTAGAACTTCAAGAAATATCTCTTGGAGACCGTCACTAGTGAGCATATCATGATTATTATTATTATCAAAGAGGGGTTTTCTGGTTATCATATTAATTCTATAAATGCTAACTTAATGCTTTTTCTTCTAGTATTCTAGAAAGAAAGGTTGAAATAAATGTTCGATTCATCGGAATTAGTGGATAAAAACAAACAAACATCTACGTTAGAAACATATCAACTTAATACTGATTATTCTAATTATAAATTTGTTCTTTAGTGTTGTATTCAAATGCAACAAAATGCACAAAAAGTACAATCACTCAAATTACAGCCTAAATAAAACTTGAAATTAATACCAATCACACACACACATACACACACATACACATGCATAGATACACATGAAATATACATCAGTTGATATGTTCTACATCAAGTACAATTTCTGATTATTATATGGAGTGAAAATTCAATTTCATTCGACAATATAAGACATTGATTGCTTGTTTTTGTAATGTACTTTGATGTGATATAAAAGAAACAAAAAACGAGTCTTTTCATGAATAGAATGAAAGCGTGAAAATATATAGTCTCTAAGTTTACATTAAATAAATGAAATATAATTGATAATGGAATTGACGATTTTGCTATTTTGTTGTATTTAAGTCTAATCAGCTAAAATTTGAGCTATAAACATTGATGCATTTAAACTAAGGTAAATGTACCGGGCTCGAATATAGAAGTGGATATTAACTTTACAGTAAGGGTGCCCCCAAATGCCCTGTTATGGCCGAGAATGGGGTGGGCCCGCCCTCCTCAAAATGCTCTCACAAGGCCACGCGTATACAGCCTCTGTCAGGGAAGTCCTACTCACTGACTTCTCGTGGCGGGGTTGTTGCTCACGAAATTGAGAGTACAAAAAGCGAATGTCCGACGCTCTAACCGGATTCCAAACCAATGGTGCACATGGGCTCCAGTATCCTGCTGGAACAAATAGCGTATGAACCAATTGTTGGTCACCGGCTACCATGGGACTGCATCTCTTCACGATGACCCACTGCCTAGTGGGTCAGACCTTAAGGTCAAAGGCTCGGGGTGTGACTCCCAAGTGTGCACCCGGGCAGTATCACAGCCCTCATACAAATCGAATGAGATTTTTGTGGCGCACATGTATTGTGTGCCTCCTTGTACCAGTGTTTGTTTGTTTAAATGAAATAAAATAAAAAAAATTACAATGAGAGTATGTCTAATTGACAAAGTTGAATTGTGATAGAATGAATGTTCTAAATTCCATTGCCACCTAACTTACATCTATTTTGTGTAAACGTATGTCATAATATCAAAGTCATGCCAAAATATCAATAATGAAATAAACCAAACCATTAAAAATGAAATGGCATTTAAATCATTCCACTTGCTAACGTACTTGATGATATTATTGTCAGTTCAGTTTGTGGTTTATAAGTGAATGCTACTGTAAAATGAACGACTAGGAAAAAACACACATTATGCTCTCTGTACAGTTTTAAATTGTCTGTTGACTCTGATAATAGTAAATAATGGTGAAATGAAACTTTACCAATGATAAGTGAAGATTTTAGAATTGATAAGTTTTACAATGAAAATGTTTACGTTTGAAGTATATATAGATATGGGGAATAAAATAAAGTGATATCAGCACACAGTAGAACAGTTTTAATCAATTTTGTAAGTTATCTTTTTAGCTATTCATCATGTTTCTATGAAAACAGTAATTCTATGTTGAACTGCTGATATTGTACTGTAGATCACCAAGGTTGATGATCTATGTCGAATGATTGGAGACCTTCTCGAGTTACTGAGACAACCACCTCATTGGCCAGTCCATGGTATATGATTAACTGATTCGCATCGGTTGTTCTTGATCTTGACAAGGATCGATGATCTGTTCGATATTCAGTGACCCAACTGCCGGGGGATTTGGCTACGGCTCACTGGCCCTACAGCACGATCAACATCCATTGTAATTAATGATATCTCAATGATTGGGTTTATGAGTCAATTGATACTAGACCACTATGGAAAACCTGTAAGCACTGAACGACCATTCCGTTCTACTATCGGACTCCTCATGAACTCAACCATTGAAATTACTATAATATCCACAAAAATCCTTCTGATATTAATGATATTTGTCTTGATCCCAACGTAACTAAACTCTATCAATTACAGAAGTATTAATGATAATGACATAAATCTATAAAATTTGAATTATATTTAAACATTAAAATTATAATTATTATTGTTTACCTCATTTTCTTCTAAATTTCCATCTTGTTTAAAACGAATAGTTCGTTTGCCTGATCCAACATGACTATTTCTACCTTTTGAACGTGAACTTATCATATCTAAATTGTATAGAATGTATAAAAATGTAAATCTATAACAAGTCAGTAAAATATTATTTCTTATGTAGTATAAAGTTATTTAATATTACATTATAAAAATTCTCTAATTAGATGAATAACGGCTAACAGTGAAAATTAGGACGCATGTTTCGTCCTATTTGGGACTCGTCAACTAAATGTACCTGCATTTCAGAGTTGATGTTCTCTCCGGGACTCGAACCCAGTGACGTTTGCTTCAAACGCTGTCCTTAACAATAGTAACCGATTCTTGAGGTGAAATCTTTGATAAAAATCATACTTTATTAAGTAGTATTCAAATATTTAATGGACTGAACATAGAAGATGTTGTAAGTATATTCAGGTACTTCTATTAAATTAATTTGATATTTGACGGTTGCTTTATATCTGTGTATATGGAAGCCTCTTTTATTCATAAAGTATTGTTGAAATAAGGTGGTGGTTGGAGGTAGTCTATAGGAAACCCCGGACCCGAGTGTCGTGCTATTTGGCACTCGTCAGCAAGGTGTACCTGTAATCTTGATGGAACTGTTTCTCTCTGAAGGATTCGATCCCGTTTCACCAAGCTTCACAGTCAGATATGTTGCCACTGAGCTATCTAATTTGCTGAAATTTCATTATCACACAGATTGTTAAACATATCTTGGGAGTCTTATCAGCCCTTGTGATCTGGTGTATGACGAAATCTTAGCACGGATACAAAAGGCTCGATTTAATGTGATGTATTTTGCGCTATACATTTTGAACAATCTGGTCAAACACATATGTGTCAAGGCATTTTATACAAAAAATCAATAAAATTATTCGTGAAGCAAATACTATACTCCATCGATACAGAGAGATAAAACTGTGAACATAAATACAGAAGCAGTCTGAATAGTAGCATTAGTAGTAGTATTAGTAACAGTAAAAAAGATTGGATATAGACATTATGTATCTAGAAGAAGAAACCACACAAAAGAAAAAAGGTTTAAAATAATTCTGTCTTCTCACGAACAGGTGAGTACACTGTGTAGATATCTACTCAGTATGAATTCATGGCTGTAAAGCGTGGCTTTTAACGATAGATGACATTTGTAGTTTACCAATATTTAATAACAATTCACTTCAAAGCATCAATCGAGTATGTTGTGATCATTCAATAAGTAGTGCCTAGATTAAAATCAAGGTATTAAGTAAGGATAACATGTCCGTTAATAAGATTATAAGCCTTCATCTACTAAGATGATGATCGACTCATGAAAATGATAGTCAGAAAGCAAGCAAATGTCGACCTGCACTCAGTTCTACTCTTCATATCAGTATGAAAACATTAAATAAGCGACAAAACAAATTGGTGCATACTGAATGTTAACTATTTAGTATGACAGTTGTAAAGATTAGTGAATGTTTACAAAGATCACGAACAAATCTAAGTTACATAACTACTGAAAATTCAAAAACACTGGACTGTGTCAGGTGTCCCGAAGGTAAATATGACCGCGCAATACCACAGATTGATTGCATTTAGACATATACACTAATGCATAACAACTTGATAGTCTAGAAGTTAAGAGTTTGTGAATACGAGACCAAAGGCCATGAGTTCGATCTCCAGTGCTATCGTCGTGGGTGTACATTGCTGAACTTAATAAACGTTTCTATTCACTTGGCATGTGGAATTTATGAATAGTTGTAATTTTAATATTTACATATCTATACTTTCATTTCATTGAAATGGTGTTACATTGATTACATAACAAATATTGTCTATCATACTAATAAATTGTTTATTTTTATAATTTCATCATAATCACATGAATGTATATGTGTTCATATATGTGTGTGTGCGTACATGCGTGCATGATTGTGTGCATAGTCTAAGTGGATGTAGGAGAGTAGTCACGATAATAATGGTTCCTTTTTTTGCAATGAAAATTGATTTCTTAATATGACTGTTTTTTGTTTTGTTTCTTCGACTTTTCTATCTCTAATCATTTAATATTTCGTTTTACTTGTATTAAAAGATTTTATTGTTGTTGTTGTGGTGGTGGTGGTGGTTGTGGTTATTGTTGTTGATGTTGATATAATGTGTGAATATATATATGTATATCGAAGTGTAATAACTCATTGATGAATAACGGAAAACAAAACAGGTTTATGTGAAACATTATTGTCTCGACATTGCCTTAAGTCACAAGCTTTATAAGCAAAGGTGGATAGTGGATAGCAGTGGAATCCAAGACACGCGTTTCGACCTATTTGGGACTCGTCATCTGGATGTACTAGCATCTGAGTTGATGTTCAATCTGGAACTCGTACCTAGTACCGTTCGCTTCAAATGCCATCACGTTATGTACTTACATACTGAGTCCCCATGGTCACTTGCTTGTATAATGAGGTGAAATTTTAATTCACATGGTATTGTTTGTTCGAATCTTTCCATTGTTATTTGACTGCAATTGATCATTCTCTTATTGGCATATGTACATCCTGTGCGGACTGCTTCGATATTGCCTTAATTCACAAGCTTTATAAGTAAAGATGGACAGTGGCTATCGGTGAAATTTAGGACTCATGTTTCTCCTTATCTGGGACTCGTCAGCTGGATGTACCTGTATCTCAGAATTGATTTTCAATCTGGGAATCGAACCCACTAACGTTCGCAGTACAGTCCGCATAGGATGCACTTATGCCAATAAGAGAGAGACTGATCAATTGCAGTCCTAAATAACAATATGAAGATAAAAGTAAGCAACATTGAGTGAATTTAAAACTTCACCCTATGGCACAAGCAGGTGACTATCGGGACTCAGTAACTAAGTGAACAACCCAACGGCGCTTGAAGCGAACTGTACTGGGTTCGCGTACTAGAGTGATCTTTAAATCTGGGATACAGCTACATCTAGATGACGAGTCCCAAATAGGACGAAACGCGTGTACTGGATCTCACTGCTACCCACTATCCATTTTTGATTATTTAGAAATTAGTTTAATTACAATGTTTCTGAACCTTGAACATTGTATGTCACATTAGGTCTAAGTTTATTTAGAAGAAATTACTATGTAAAGATAGTTGGTTATGGAAAATTGTATTAACTAGAAAACAAAACTAATGTGGATCGAACACGCTAAGTCATCACTGGTTATAAATATTTTTGGAAAAATTATTGATTGCTTGAGTTATTTTCGGCTACGTGTTATCAATCCGCAGTGATGAGAAAGCAGTTGTTTGACCTCCCACTAGCTCAATTATCGACTAGTTCATTGATTCTTCCAATAATACCAGTGACCTGTTTATCAATCTACAAACAGACCAATGAACAACAGTCACAAGAGCTTGACGCTTATTTGTGCTTCAGCTGCTTCCAACACAGTGATCAATCAAAAGATGAAGATAGAAAACGGACAAGTGCTCTATTGTGTTTATTTCCATTATGACACAAAATTCATGTTTGAGATATCTGACCATATAGCAATACAGTGAGAAGATTACAATATGAACATAACTTAGATATAAGTGAAACAAGTGATGGTTAAACAATCCTTCGTATGATAGTTTAAAAGGGTATACTGAAACTATCCAAAAATGCCATTTGTGACTAGTCCTAAACAAATGTCTATTGTGCGTTATACTGTTTCTCTCAGGTCGTCAAGATCATCCCTCATGGAGTTTCCTTCTGCTGTAACTCAAGAACAAGCATTCTTCCACAATTAAGAGGACCAGGATGTAATAATCATCCTTCTGTCATTAATAGGAATCGATATCAACTCTTCCGCTACCAGTTTTATTGATTCACATCCACATAATACTGTGCTACGTTTCTTGATTGATATCATTGGTAACATAGGTAGTTAATCATAGAAATTAAAAGTTTCGTGTCTTTGATGTCTTTAGAATTAAAAACAAAACATTCATTCAATATTTCTTAGTTTTGATCATAGTTGATATTTCCTTGTGGTATAAATTACTTATAAAATTGAAAACATTTTCACTTGCAAATAAGGCTTAAAAATTTCATTTTGAAGAAAATATCACTGGAAACTTATCATAATTGGGATTTAATTTGAAGAAAGAGTGTTGAGAATTTTTGAATAATCTCGTGAAATTCAAAGTTACATTTCTCAACCGTTGTTGCTACCTTAACGTGCTGGTCGAGCTTGCATATTGTGATGAACCAATCGAGCAACACTGGCTGGAACAATCGTTTCTCAAGGTCCTACCATGCCAGACAGGTCGGTTGAAGAAGAGTAAGACTAAAAGCAGCAAACCCAAGGTCTGAGGACGAAGTTGTACTGTTAACTGTACAGTGGTGTGACGGCAGTAAGTTGTTTCCTTCAGACAATCAGCATAACAGCGATGCTGCCTTCCCACAAGGAGGGGTGGGGTTAGAAAAAGTCCACCCTAGAAATGCTCAACTTGCCTTATTCCACGGATATCCGTCTCCGGTGGTAATGTCTTAACAAGTACGAAGCTAACACTAAAACTACCCACAGAATGGTTGTGCATGACTGATTTTAAGCACTACAGTCACGATATCAGATCACTAAGACCACTTTTAATCCAATTCCGTTTTCAGGTACCTTCAGAAGAACCCTTCCACGGTATGGGCAACCGGGAAGTGATAACCGCCCTCATACCTCTAACACGACTCAAGACCATTGTATTCATAGTCAGCCTTTCTCTTCAATTCCTATAATTCCTCCTAAAACGACTGTAAAGTCACATTTAACGAATTTACTCCAGAAGTTTAAACGATATTTTGATAAGATATTATACAAAAGACTTTAAATGATAAATCTGCATATTTGAACTTGACAGAGTCTATTTCGATTCGAGTGATCATCCGATAAAAATACAATAAGACTTCAAATAGATCATATAGCTTAAAATTAAATACAGAAATTTGTACTGAATAGGTAAGTCACAATACATCATAATTATATTACATATTTACAAACAACATACATCCAGGATTTAGATATTTCCATTATTTACATAATCCATAAACTGACTTACAGAAAGTAGTTTTTTTACAAGTGACTGATCAATAAGTAATAATCAGTGTTATGTTTGTCTAGTACCATGGAAATGAATGAATTCTATTAGTTAAGTTAGGTTACTTGATTTGTGGTATTATTTATTCGTCGAATTCTAACCTTAAGTATATCGAATGATTATCTGTGTTGATAAATCATACTCAGATAGTTAGGTATTTATCTGGAGTTTATTTTGAGAAGATCACGATCATAATATTGTCCAATGATTAACTGAAATAATAATGACGAATTGATTAATTAGACGACCGTTGGAAACTTGGGAGCAACCGACGTCTGTTTCAGTTTCATATAGAACTATTTAGAAGCGCACATCTACGACCCTGTCACTATAGGTCAAATCCACAAACTCCACGCTACGAAGCCCTGTGTTCGACCTCCAAGGGTTAGTAGCCGCACACTATTTATTTGTCTCATACTGAAGCGAATAGTTTTTTCATTGCTTCCCAGCTTTTTACGGTAAGTTTATAATGTAAAACACAAAACTCAACCATTTCCACAAAACGCTCATATTAAAATGGAATGGCTTTCGAAGATAAAAGCTTTATATTTTTTTCAGTTCATAATGAGAAGTAGCTGTGTACTGAGCAAATTTCACAAGCTATCCTCATATACCAATTTACCAGTGTCTACCTTCAATCTGTTATGTTCTAAGTTTTACCTATGAAATATAGTCTACGAAATTAGAAAATATGGTTAGATTGTATGTTTTTGAATGAAGGTGTCTTTGAAACATTGCTTGCATCATGTGGAACGATCGAGTAGACAATGTTTAAATTAAACACATGATACTAGGTAAAGATGTGAATCTTTATTTTATGAGTTCGTTGAAACGTCTACTATGTGTGCTTAACCACTACCTATCATGACAAGCGTAATAGGCTAGTAGAACGTTGGGGTTGTTAAACAAAGAAGACACTAATCCGTAAAATTATCAACTGTTGAACTAGACGATGTTGGTAAATGTACACTACTTGGTTTTGGTTCATTAAACTATCCGAACCAATAGTTCGCTCAAAATGGTTCATAATGTTACAATTACATTTGTTCTTTTTCCATTATACTTTCGTGCATACCTTTAGCCCCATGTCTTTTCAAATGAATGAGGTATAACAACTTGGACTAAGGTACATCTATGCGAAGCTCTAAGTTGATGATTTCCGTGTATCTATCTTTTGAATAATACTTCGTCAATGGAATGCATTGTCATATTTCATTAATAGATTACTTGAATTTTATTTCATAAATGGGATAGAATTTTTTAAAAAAATTTAGCAAAACAATACATGATATAATAGACTTACACATAGGACAACGTTCTGGTGAAATTAATCGTAGACAAAATACATTTGTGATAGGAATACTTTGTAAATAAGATGCTACATGATAATGACGTCGACCATTAAATGAAATATCATCAATTTTTTCAATTTGATCACCAGGTTGTATTAAACCATAACATGCTTTAGATACTTTATCCATAAAACCTCCAGGTTTAATACGTTTTATAATGACTACACCACAACCATTATCTGTTAATGTTAAACCAAATGATTCACTTGTTTTACGTATTTTAATCTCTTTTGGTTGTCCTTTAATATGTGCAAATAAAAAATCATTTAAACCAATTTCATAACTTAATAATTTATCCATATCTAATTTATGTGTATTACGTGTGCAATACATGATCTAAAATAGTAAGAATAGATAAAAGAAGAGATAAAGAAATGGGGAGGGAGAAACCATGAATACATAGGTCATATTGGTGTGGTTAATTAAAATTTACATCATTGTCTATATTGAAATGTAACTCAGTTACTCTGAGTTTATGCTTAAAATCATACCGTTTATGTATAGGGGTTGGTGGTATAACCTGGTCACTGAAAGTAAAGAAGGTGAAATGGACTTTTGAATCTGTGACCTGTTAGTTGGAAGCATATTCCTTACAACTTTACATCATATAATTAAATAGGTAATCTATCAGTAGACAAATGAACCGATGTATTTAATAAGAAAGCTACTAGTTACAAAAAAATGTAACTGGTTGAGGATCAGTTTGAGTAGTTGATTATTAATTTTCACAATACTTAACCGAAGTTATACATTGCTGATATTAAGGAATGTATTCGATTATTCTCTGTTAAGATAGGTGAATCATGCAAGGACCACTATGATAATACCTTTCGTTATACGTTTTAGTAAATTTCGATTATCTCTTGTATTGTAATCTTTTATGCTGACTAAATATGTTGTAGTGAACGAGAATGCGGGTGGCAGAGAAAACCAACTCATTGTTTTGTACAGGTTACTTTGATAAAATACGAAAACTATACATTGAACACATTATTTACACATCATCTTTCAATTTTGCTGTACATGCTTCATTATTCTTTCAATCCTTTTGTTATCACAATTGCTCTTTACTTCCTTTCCTGTCCTCTTCAATCCAATCTTCTGTTGAAAGGCATTCTACTTCCAACTAATGCTACATACTACTTATATCTGTCAGCATAAGTAGCATACACCACAGTTTAATTAGTGAGTCCTGAACAGGAAGAAATATGATGTCTGGATTTTATTATGTTGCTACAATCCAAGTTTATTTACACTTTACCACAGAGTTTCTCAGAATTCCTCTATTTCAAATTAAAGTAAAATCATGTTGAATTGATAATGTTTTCTTAATACAAAAACCAGACCTGTTAGATGATAACTTACCAAATACCTAAGAATAAAATCGCTGAAAGAAGTCAGTCAGTCGACGACAACCTAGGATCAGGCACATATATGCATCGATCCAAGTTGCCACACAAAATCAACACAACAAGATGAACATCAATTTCATAGAAGGAGTTAATTCAATGAAAGTAATGTATAAAAGAAAGATTGTGTGTAATAAAGGAAGAAGAAATTAGAAAAAAAGGTGTAAAGCAATATTAATCTCACGATTTACGGGAAGACAAGGAGTGTATACATCTACACCATCATGATCGATTCTGAGCAATGTCACTCAGTCTCCAACCATTGGTTACGATAGTCACACGGACCCCTACCAAGTAGTGTGCATCTAGCAACATGACTCAGATTAGAAGATAGTAACTTCATTTTGACCGATGCGACTTGTTTGTTTGGCCTCCGCTAACTTTCTTCCAACCATCTTCAACAGCAGATAGCATTGTGCGTCGTAGTAATCGGTGTTCAGGCATGAGCAACACGCGACCCAACCATCTCAGTCGATGATTATTCACAACACTATCAACTGATTCGCCAGCATTCCCTAATACCCTGCGTCTAACCTCACTGAAAGAAAGGTACACACGGTAAAATATTAAGATGTATAGAATAAGGAAAGCTTTCATAAGGGTATGTCGTGATCCACGTTATAGATAGTTTCATGAATGAATGAATTAGTTATTATTGGCATACCGGTTTCTTTTCTTGATGCCTAAATTTTATTTCCATTCAAAAATAAGACATGTTAACACAAAGAAGTTTATGAAAACTGTGGAATCATGATAATTTAAATAATAAACTGAACCGCTATTGAAAATCTGAAAGTAATGATTGGTCGTTTCATCCTAGTAGGATACTCCTCAACATTGCGTCTCTACCTGCGATGTCAGTAACTTGTATCCACATAAGTAGTATATAACGATAGTCAGGAATAGAATTTATTTCAGTAGAAGATCGAGAAGGAATGAGCGAGAACGAAAAGCAATTAGTGTTAAAATGCAAGAACAATGAAGTCTGAGACGATGGATTGATATTTTGCAAATTAAGTAGCTACCGTATTGTTCTCAGATTTTAATGAGATATTCTATAATTTCGTTTTCAAATACATTCGATTATTCCCCATTCGGATTCTTTGTTCAATACATTATCTATTTTCAATTCATCTCAGTATTCATCGACAGAGTTGAACATGAGAAACAACGTTTAGGTTAATTCAATTGATTGTTACTTTTTCAAATTTTACATTTGATCTTTATCTTGCCTAATTAGGTGATGACTTTTCTTTTTGTTTTTAATTGAGATCATGAACCAATTGATGTTAAACCACCGTTGGAAACCTGGAAGCACTGAACGGCCGTTACTTCCTATTGTGGGATTCCTCAACAGTGCGCATCCACGATCCCGTTCGCGGGATTTGAACCCAGGGCCTTCAGTCTCGCGCGCGAACACTTAACCTCCTGGACCACTGAGCCGGCATACAATGGTGTTAGTGTCTAACATCAACCAATCCACAAAATTGCACTACCATCTCTCATCGTACCGAGGTAGATACCTGTCTTTACCCGACACGGACTGGTTCCACTGGTCACGACTTTTCAACAGAACTCCGAGAATTTCCTCACTAAGCTAGTCACTAGTGAGCACAAGTTAATTACCAATATAGGAGTTGTGGAGATTATTAAGTTTTTAAATGAAATCATGAATTTTATTGTATCTACACCATAGAATTATAATTAGAAACTGAACTCAATTCTATTAATACATGTATATGAATAGGTTATAATGAAATTAAGAATGATTATTTCATTTCATTGTACAACTCATCAGTTGATTAGAATTGAATCTTAAACTAATTAGATCACTATGACAACCATTGGTTCATTGAGTTATTTTTCTTCTTAAACTATATAGAGATGAAAAAAAAAGATCTTTCTTATCAATGGAACTTTTGTTATTACTGATTTCATAAATTCACTATTAATTTACATAATTTATTCATTAAAGTGAAAACAAAAATTATAAACCAAAAACTTTTTCTTTATTTTAATTTATTACTTATATGTATACTGAAATTATAATGAATGATTCATATTGAATTTTAAACAGAATGAAAATGTATATAGATGATTATAAAATGGAATTAAGTTAACATTAAGGAAGCATTGGACAGCTAATCTATCAATAATATTGATTATTTAGTTATGGACAATCATCGTTTGTAAATCTTCATCGACTAAGATTAATGGGTCATGTATTATGTATGCCTGAACACCGATTACTACGACGCACAATGCTATCTGCTGTTGAAGATGGTTGGAAGAAAGTTAGCGGAGACCAAACAAACAAGTCGCATCGGTCAAAATGAAGTTACTAACTTTTAATCTGAGTCATGTTGCTAGATGCACACTACTTGGTAGGGGTCCATGTGACTATCGTAACCAATGGTTGGAGACTGAGTGACATTGCTCAGAATCGATCATGATGGTGTAGATGTATACACTCCTTGTCTTCCCGTAAATCGTGAGATTAATATTGCTTTACACCGTTTTTTCTAATTTCTTCTTCCTTTATTACACACAATCTTTCTTTTATACATTACTTTCATTGAATTAACTCCTTCTATGAAATTGATGTTCATCTTGTTGTGTTGATTTTGTGTGGCAACTTAGACCGATGCGTACATGTGTTTGATCCTACGATGTAGCTGACTGACTGGCTGGCCGATTTACCGGTGGTTTACGACAGGGTCCTTGGGTCTCATGGAAAAGGCTTAACTCTAAAACTATTCCATTGGTATCTACTAGTTTATATTTTAAAGTTCAGCAGGTTTATGATATATTGCAACTATTATCATTTGATACTATGCAGTGAATGCTTTCTTCATGTCAGTTTTGAGATTTCTAGTAGCTTAAACTGACAACCCAGTCGAGGATCAAACCATGGACTTTCTAATTTCACAAAGAACGCCTTAATATTACAACCAATCAGTCGACATCCGGTTGTGCAGTTTCAACTTCATTTAGTTTACAAGGTAACAACCTTCTAATCCCCCTCGTAAAAAATATTTTTCTTGACTCTCAACATATCTAATCTCAATTAAGCATTGAAACTTTTGAAATACTTTGAAGCACATCACCACTTAGTTGGTCATCATAGTTTCATTGAAGGCATTTCGTGAACATTGACTTAACTTGTAGATTTACAAATTGTACGAGACAGGAAACTGTATAGATGACAGTTTACACACTCATGTGACAATAATAAACTATAATTGTTTGCTTTTGTTACAAGTGTTCATTCTTACCGACATTACATGGTATCCATTTTGTACATGCAACCTTTGTTCTAGGTCACTCTGTTTATATATATGTATATAGATTATTTTATAACTAAGTGGTTCTATCACAATAACAACGAAAGATGAAAATAACGAGCAAATGAATTATAAACATATCGATATAATTAAGTGGAAACGATCATGAAAATGATCCATCAATAATATTCTGTTTCAGAAATGTAATATGTAAACTGTTTTTTTTAATGGAATATTAGAACTCTATGCTCAAGAGTAGATGAAGTTTAAATAAATTTACACTGTTGTGAACGATTCTGATCAATGTTTAAAAAATGTCTCCAGTCACTGATTGCAGTTATTATATGGATTTTAACAAGATGATTTGCTTCTGTCAATGTAGATCAAATCAAAAGGAAATGATCACATGAATTAATTCCATATCTTGGTTTGGTTGCATATAGATTTTGACCGACCTACTTCTGAGTAAACAATCATTGCCCATTAAAATAGTCGACAGTTGTATATCGATGGAGTTTTGTTCTCTGGGCTGGATGGACGAGCAATATGTTGATAGAATAAGGGTTGTATGTATAAGTACATCAACAAAATAGACAATTGGTTTATAATGGGATAGGTTGCATGATAATAAATTTGTAGTACATCTACTTCTCAATGTGTAATACTTGTGCGATATATTTTCATTCATCTAGTGAGTGGATGCCCCCAAATGTACTGGTACGGCCAAAGGTGGCGAGAGTCCGCTTTCCCTTTCCAAATGCTCTCACATGATCACGCGTATACAACAACCATCACAACCAGTGGTGCATATGGGCTCCAGGATCCTAAGGGAACAAATGGTGTGTAAACCTATTGTTGATGACCAGCTACCATGAGAATACATCTCCTGATGTTGCTCCACTGCCTTGTGGATCAGGTCTTTAGGTTAAAAGCTCTAGGCGTGGCCCTCTAAGAAAATCACCTGCATTGGTTTGAGCATCTGGACAATATCACAGTCCACACAAATCAAGTGACTTGTTTGGTGCATATGTACTCGGTGCCTCTTTGTACCAATATTTATGTGTTCATATAAATAGGAGGATGTCTTTTGCTTAGGTCTTCATTTCAAAGTCTAATTTCCATCCGACCTGTTCTTCTCACACAAAACGTGGAGATGAGCTACATATATTTAATTTATATAATTAATATATGTTATTACACTAATAATATCTAGAAATAAGAAAAGGCATCGAAGAAACTTCAGTCACACACATTCATCGTCTATGATATTGACAGGTAATAAAATTAATCTGCCATCATGGTATGAACCATGTAAAATCTAATTAATAATCTGAATCATGTCACAAAAGAAAAACGTTACCTCAATATTAAAGAGGAAGAATGTATTTGCAAAGTCTCAGTGAAAGAATTTGAAGCAAATCTAACATTTCTCCTGGCAATCTGATCCAAGCTTTATCAAGGAAATATAGAATATGTATGGGTTGAAACAGAAAGGAATCGCCTACTATTTAATATATTGTTGCATCTCATAAAATATCGTTAAAATATCCCTTTTGACAACAGCCTCTAAGGAACAACCAAGAGAATATAGATCTAAACAAACTTCACGGTCGCCAAAAACTGGTCTTTTTTGAGGATAAAGGTCGTTGTTGAAGAAAAATGTTTACTAATTAAGTGCAAATCATATTCAAACATATTATAGTTAAACAGGAAATTACTAAATTTAAACCTCAACATTATTATTGAATCCTACTAATATCTAATTTTTCTACAAACATATCATCAGTGTGTCATTGCTCAAAAGCAATAACCAATGTTGTACCAAAAGAGAATAAGAAGGGTTTGAGGTAGGTGAAAGTTGCTTCTTATGCCTGCAATATGCTTGCTTGGACAGATCACTTCTACTCATATTGAATTTCTTGGCTCAGTCACAGACTAAATGAGTTGGTTTACATTAATACAATGACAAGAGAAGCCATCATGACGTTCAAGAATATATCTTGTAAAACTATAAAGAATGGTTTGATAGAACACAACAAAACTGGACCAAAATAATATAAATATGCTACTCCTTTTTATGTCATCACAAACATAACTAAATACTGAACTAGATTTAGGATTGAAAGAACTTGTTACATGGTACCAAACCGAGGTTTGAGATGTCATGAAAATCTTATTTAGAAAATGTATTTTATTAGAAAGCAAGTCAAATATATGATGCTTGATTCAGTCTATTAGAAACATGTTAAATTGTCACAGAAGCTGTTCGTTCACAAACTAAGCGACCGTGAAATTACTTAACTAAAAGACGAGTGATATAAAGTAAAACCTTTAGATGAAACTCTTTCAATAAAAACACAAATAGTGATTAAACACACCTTGTATTGTGAAGAGGAGGTATTGTTGATGATGTTCACTTGTGAAAAACACCCCACTACTGCAAAATCTACGAACATGCGATAACACTGCTTCGCCCCCGAACCTTACATCTACAACTTACTTTCTCACTACCATCCAGTTGATCTCCCTGGTGGGGAAGGAATTTGGGCGATAAGTGTTTCAGTAAACATACCTTTGTTGCGTAGTCACTATTCAAGAAACCCAACCATCATAGAGAGGCAGAAGGTATTGTTGGGTTTGAATATAAATTAAAAATATTTACCACATAGTACTAAATAAATTTGCGATCAAAGGGAGAAAACTGTGAATGCATCTATGAAGTTGCAAACGATTTTAGCCCATTTCACCTCAAGTTTTAAACCGTCCATTGCGATAATCACTCGGATCGTAATGTGGCAGTCTGTATCTAATAAAATGGCTGAGTTTAATGAGCACTCACTCTACGGATTGACAGTGGTGGTTAGGAATGTAGATCCGCTACCCAGTATAAACTATTTGACATCAACATTGCTCATTAGGCGGTCCCAACATAAAGAAATGCTTCGAAACAGTCCATGATCACTCACAGGTAACCTACAAATAAGCTTTATTTTTAAAGGATTATATTAGCAAGAGTGGATCACAGTACTTTTTCCTGAGAAACTTTTCCAGACACCAAGCTACATTCATTCCCACCAGAAATACAAGACTATCACACCCAAGGCACAACTTTGGGACGATAACGATTAAAATAGGTAACACGTAAAACAATGTTGGGTTTTCGTGGAGAAAAAATTATCTCATTGAACCAATAAACATAAATTTCATTAAGTTATTCTTGAAGCTAAAATTACAACTGTAACAAGATATAACTAGATTTTTAGTGAAAAACGTCTAAAAAACAATGAAATTCTTGTAAGTCAACAGACTTATGGCAAAAATGTATGATTTGGCATAAGAAACAAGTTTACATTTCAGTAATAATGTGTATAAGTGACGCAAAAGTAGTCAAATATGAAGGTTATGGGAATATGAATACAAAAGGTTTGTATCTTTGCATAACTTCAATATCTTATAACCGCTAGCTGGCCTCATTATTTCCATCGTCTTCGTCTATTTGAATACAGACGTTATCAAGCCAAATACTTTACAACTGTTGTAATTCATAACTAGTCGAGGATGAAAGAGAGGGTGAGATAGATAACAGCATTTATTGACCAAAACACAAGTGCTTATTTTCGTGCACAGTTACCCACCTTAAAATATATTTGCATGTCGTTTTCAAAAAGGTATTGACATCGGCTACATTAAAATTCATGCTATCATTTCACATTCGCATGAAAATGTGATATAGTCTCTCATATGATAGTTACAAGATACATAATTTGACGTATTATTAAGAAATATGCTTGAATAATCGGAAAAGGGATATTCTAAGGCATTTGTATGATGAAACCATACATATCGAGAAGGAAAGTAGCTTATAACTATTTAAAAACGGCAGAAAGAAATCATAAACGGAAACAAATACAGGTGAAATAATTCAACTCTACCTGAGATGGATTTATATCAAAACACTCCGATATTTTCGTGTGGAGCTGACGGACTGTTTTAAAACCATGAATAATTCCGGTAGGGCTTCCATGGGCAAGTTGACAGTAAAAATGGTAATCTGGAAGTGGTTCGCATTCTGGTGTTTTTTGGTTAAATGTATTGGAACAATTAGGATCATTCCTTCCAGAACATCTGACTCCACTCGACATCATGTTCCGAAGAACAAAATGCCGCGTAAACAAAAACAAACTGGTTATGTCCAATAGCGAAAAATACAGTAAACTCGTGACGAGCTCAAGTACGTCAACTAGTTCCTTTGGGCTGAAGTCGCAAAGTTTTCTAAAGAAACGCTAGAAGCTTTGAAGAAAGCTAACTCATTCATTATCCATTTTGAGTAAATCTATTTTTAGTAATATCTGTTTGAGTGTCATCCCGTACTTTGGACAAATTGTCCAGTTCCAAATGGTCATATGAATATGTTGGACTATGAACAGAATCCACACTTTTAGGAAGTTCAGGAAAAGGAGAAGCTCACATCATGTTGTCTATAGGCATGAGAGTTGGGGTTAGCGTCCCCATCCCGTAGAAAACGAACTCGCTAAAAAAACGCTAACCAGAAAAAATAATTCAAACCATTTTAACTCTGCCTTGGGAGTCAGAATGTCTTCAGTTAGAAGAATTATGACGTTTCATGGTGAAAGCCGAGTTCCTTCGGAAGCCACGAGGCCGATGCCCCTTCTAATAACCAGAGCAAAAAAATTTTATAGGTACATGGAACGTTCGAACAATGTGGGAAACCGGGAAGACCAGTCAAATAGCAACGGAAATGAGGAGATACAACTTAGCAGTACTGGGAATCAGCGAAACCCAATGGACCCAAGCTGGACAAAAAAGGCTAGCTACGGGAGAGATGCTGCTATACTCCGGTCACGAAGAGGACAATGCTCCACACACTCAGGAAAGTGCTCTAATGCTGTCCAAAGTAGCACGAAATGCACTGGTAGGATGGGAATCTCGCGGATCCAGAATCATCAAAGCATCATTCAAAACAAAGAAGGAGGGGATCTTAATGAATATTAACCAATGTTATGCACCCACCAATGATAGCAACGACAAAATTAAAGATCAGTTCTACGAGCGGCTGCAGTCAATCATTGAGAAATGCCCAAGAAAAGACCTAACTATTCTGATGGGAGATCTAAATGCCAAAGTCGGAATAGACAACATCGGATATGAAGATATTATGGGACGACATGGACTGGGAGTGAGAAACGAAAATGGGGAAAGATTTGCGAACCTGTTGGCGTTCAACAAATTGGTCGTTGGAGGCACAATATTTCCACACAAGCGTATACACAAGGCTACATGAATCTCACCGGACCACACCACAGAGAACCAAATAGATCATATTTGCATCAACAAAAAATTCCGAAGGACAATCGAAGATGTGGGAACCAGGAGAGGTGCTGACGTAGCTTCAGATCACCACCTAGTTGTAGCCAATTTAAAACTGAAGCTAAAAAAGAACTGGACAAGTGGACAAACAGCAATACAAACGTTCACTACAAGGTCCTTCCAGATACTGACAAACTCAATGAATTCAAGATAGCTCTCAACAACAGGTTCCAAGCCTTACAAGATCTAGTGAAAGAAGAAGAAACTACTATGGAGGACAACTGGAAAGGCATCAAGGAAGCATTAACTTCAACGTGTCAAGAGGTTCCGTGTCTAAAGAAATACAATCATAAGGAATGGATCTCTACAGAAACACTGGACAAGATCAAAGAAAGGAAGAACAAGAAGACAGCAATTAACAACAGCCGAAAGCGAGCAGAGAAAGTTCAAGCACAAGCTGAATACATAGAAGCAAACAAACAAGTGAAGAGGAGCATTAGAGCCGACAAGAAGAAATACGTGGAAGAACTAGCAACGACGGCAGAAAAAGCTGCTAGAGAAGGAAATATGAAACAGCTTCACGATACAACGAGGAAACTAGTAGGGAAATACAGTAAACCAGAGAGGCCGGTCAAAGACTAAGAAGGTAAGCCAATCACTGAAATTCAAAAACAGCGTAACAGATAGTTAGAATACTTCGAGGAACTCCTGAATAGGCCGGCTTCAATGAATCCACCAGACGTCAAAGCAGCACACATAGATCTTCCTATAGATGTCAACCCACCAACGACGGAAAAAATCAGAATGGCCGTCAGACAAATCAAGAACGGGAAAGCAACAGGACCCGACAACATACCAGCTGAAGCACTGAAATCAGACATCGAGGCAACCACAAGCATGCTTTATCTTCTATTCATAAAGATTTGGGAGGAGGAACAAGTGCCAATGGACTGGAAAGAAGGACACCTCGTCAAGATTCCAAAGAAAGGAGATCTGAGCAAATGTGAAAACTACAGAGGCATTACACTGCTGTCAATACCAGGGAAAGTCTTCAACAAAGTGTTGCTGAACCGGATGAAGGATGCAGTAGACGCTCAACTTCGAGATCAACAAGCTGGATTCCGTAAGGATCGGTCGTGCACAGACCAAATTGCAACACTACGGATCATCGTCGAACAATCAGTTGAGTGGAACTCATCACTATACATCAACTTCATTGATTATGAAAAGGCGTTTGACATTGTAGATTGGAGGACATTATGGAAACTTCTTCGACACTACTGAGTTCCTGAACAGATTGACAATATTATCCGGAACTCATACGATGGACTACAGTGCAAAGTAGTGGATGGTGGACAGCTGACAGATGCATTCCAAGTAAGGACCGGAGTCAGATAAGGCTGTTTACTCTCTCGCTTCCACTTTCTTCTGGTGGTCGACTGGTTTATGAAGACCTCAACATCTGAAGGAAAACACGGCATACAATGGACAGCTCACAACCAATTAGACGATCTGGACTTCGCAGATGACCTAGCCCTCCTATCACGTACACACGAACAGATGCAGATGAAGACAGCCAGTGTAGCAGCAGTCTCTGCATCAGTAGGCCTCAGCATACACAAAGGGAAAACCAAGGTCTTCAAATTCAAAGCGGAAAACAGCAATCCAATCACTCTTGATGGCGAAACTCTGGAAGATGTCGAGTCCTTCGCATACCTAGGAAACATCATCGATGAACAAGGAGGTTCAGATGCAGACGTAAAGGCGAGGATTGGCAAAGCAAGGGTCGCATTCCTACAATTGAAGAACATATGGAACTCAAAACAACTTTCAACCAATATCAAAGTGAGAATCTTCAATATGAACGTCAAGGCAGTTCTACTGTATGGAGCTGAAACTTGGAGAACTACAACAACCACAATCAAGAAAGTACAAGTATTTATAAATAGCTGTCTACGCAAGATACTCAACATCCATTGACCGGATACCATCAGCAATAGCCTTCTGTAGGAGAGAACAAACCAGCATCCAGCTGAAGAAGAAATTAGGAAAAGACGATGGAAATGGATAGGACATACATTACGCAAATCGTCAATCTGCATCACGAGGCAAGCCGTAGCTTGGAATCCTGAAGGGAAGCGGAAAAGGGGAAGGCCAAAGGACACATTGCGTCGGATAATAGAAGCAGATATGAAAACGATGAATTACAACTGGACGGAGCTAGAAAGGATTGCCCAGGACAGGGTTGGATGGCGAATGCTGGTGAGCGGCCTATGCTCCTTCACGAAGAGTAACAGGAGTAAGTAAGTAGTAAGTTTGTTGTAAATTTGCTTGATATGAATTCCTTTTCATCAACTCTCAGCCTGTGCTGTGTAGTTTTTGACTTTCATATGCCCTTTTAATAGGTAAAGTGACGTGATTGTTAACACATTTTGATAATCTTGATAAAAATACTATACTTCTCCTGGCTTTTGTGTTGTATACGTAGTGGAATCTGTACTCATTATACATCTTTACGTGCATCGATTGTGCGTATATGTCGCTTGTTATTGAAGTATGTAATAACTTATCAAATTTACATCTATTTACGCCATTCTCTGTTTCATTCTACTGATCGTGGCGGTTGAACGAAGAGTAACATTTTGGTTTGCATATTTTAGACTTGTGTAACCTTAAATTTTTGTTGAACGTTTATTCGTCCTACTGACGCTAAGTGTAAAAAAGATTTTTCGACTAATCTAACTCTATACGCTTAGATTGTTCGAAACGTACGCCAAGTAATATTTTTCATTGATTATCTCCTTTTCTCACTATTCGTTATATGTACATATTAGAGTACATTCTCTGTTTTTTTATGTATACGTTGCGATTTGCTGTTACTTATAATTTTATTTTATTTCAGTCCTAGGTTTGAGTCACTACACATTCTAAACCTTGCTTTGTATACGTCAGAATTAAGACTTTCACTAGACGGCTACTTAATTCTGAAGCCCAATACCTAATTTATTGCCTTAATCGTTAGTATCCTTAATTCTCATAGGAGGTAGTTTGTTCTCTTACTTACAGTATATGACTTAATTCCATTCGCCTTCGCTCTCCTTGATCAAGTTTTCACGATGCGACAAACTTTGTTAGGCGAGGTAAGTGAAGCGATATTTATGCTGTTTCCTATTGTAACTCATTTTCAAGTAAGTCTCATTACAACATTTTATTTAGACATTTATTGTCGTGGTTGAAAATTTCAGATTTGTTATGCTTTTATGGTTCATTTCAGTAGCCAGACTATAATTTATGCATGATATTTTAGCAGCACTGAAGTTACTCAGTGAAACTTTATTCACTTTCCAAAGTAAAAATATGTTTATAAATCAATATGAGCAGTTATAATTAGGACTGGAGTTAGATTCTTCATCATGAACACTTTACATTTTATTGTCTGTTAGCGCCCTTGGGACTTCCTATTTACATCTAAGACTATCCACGTTTGTTAACATTGAACACAGCACTGTGCGAATCTGAAATCCGCATATATAAAGAATGAATAGATGAATCTGATAGGTTGAAGCGAAATTCTCGATGAAAATTACATTCCTGTGCACAACATTCACCCATGAGATAAAAATGAAAATGTTAAGTGTTGCAGCCAGTCAGAGTTTACGAGAAACCGTCAGACTTAGAAGAAATCCATTGAATGTTTTTGTAACCCTTTGATTTCAATCACTGATAGATGTCACTGCTGTTTCCACAGCTGTTTGTACACCTTCACGAGCAACATCTGGGCCAGACTCGTTTTCAAAAGTACCTAAATGTGACCACAGTTGTTGCTGGGATCTACGTTCGGCATTTTTGG